GGGTCATGAAAAAAATTAACACCTTAATGGGGGGGTAATGGAAAACTTGCACCGTTTCTGCTCTTTTTCCTCCATCCCACCCTGGCGTATAATTAATGAACGGTCCCTAAAGAATCCACCAATCCTGGTTGTCAAAAAAAACATAGGAGAATAGCCGAGCAATTCAATGCCTATTTTACGTCGGTAAGAAGGTTAACAGTAGACAAAGTAAAAGTACTAGCCGAAGAAAATGTAATTTCAATAACCTCATCTGATGTATCAACAACCTACAAGTATACAACATTGGAGGAAATGTTCACATTGAGAGACGCCACTCCCAATCAGGTACGGAAAATAATCTTGGAAACCCCTTCACATAAAGCCCCAGGTCCGGACAAAATAGGCTTTCGATTTTTGAAAGATTCGCTTAATGTTATCTTACACCCTCTCAAATTATAATTAATTGTTCTCTAAAGACTTCAAAGTATCCCACAATCAGGAAACATGCGGAAGTGATGCCAATACATAAGGATAGCGATCACGAAGTAGCTTCAAACAATCGCCCAATATTACTGCTGGCAGCCTTTTCAAAAGTTTGTGATAAAGTTGTTCTTAAACAGTTCACCGCATATCTTACAAAATCAAATCACTGTCAAATCATCAAAGTGGTAATCGCAAAAACCATTCAACTGAGACACTCAATGTTTCTTTCACTGACACTTTATTAGAAGCAATGGACAAAAAACAAATATCCGTAGTGGTTTTTATCGAATCTGTAAAAAAGCTTTTGACAGTATAAAACACGATATCCTTCTCGAAAAGATATCATGGTTAGGCGTCACACCTGCTACCCACGAATGGTTCAAGAACTATTTGGTTAACAGATCGCAATATGTTTGCATAGGAACCACCACCTCATCTACAGCTCCATTAACACAAGAAATACCTCAAGGATCAGTACTCTCACCTTTCCTATTCAACATTTACACTGACAGTCTACCCTCAATCCCTGAATTCTGTAACCTCAAATCTTACGTGGACGACTCCAGATAGTATTTTTCCTTTTCACTACCGATATCTTGGACTATTCTTTATCGACTCTAGAAGATGACTTGCACAGAGTGTTCGAATGTTGTTGTAAAAACAGTCTTTTAATAAACCCAGACAAAACCAAAATGATGGTAGTTGGATCGCAAAAGCTAATCCAACAATTGGAACATACCCCTAGCATTGATACTATTGAGAAAACCCTTGAACCAGTTTCGCAAGTCAAAGTCCTAGGGACTATACTCGACTCCAATGTAAAGTTCAATGAACACATACAGCGTTTATTATCTTCATGTAACGCCAAACTTTGCCAGATAAACCGGGTAAAGAACCTATTTAATCAATCAACATTGACCTCCATCATAAATGCATTAGTTATGAGTAAAATTTATCATTGCTCATCAATATGGAGTAATACATCCAAAGAGAACATCAAGAAAATTCAGCTAATTCAGATTTACGCAACCAGGATTAATATTCATTATTGCAGGAAATGTTGGTAAATATGACCATGTATCTCCCGTATTAAAGGAACTCGGCTGGTTACCGATCAAAGAGCATTTACAATGTAGAGATGATGGCATCGTTCATAAATGCATGCATAATCAAGCACCCTTGTATTTACGTCAGATATTCACAAAGAGAAATCAAATTCATCATCGCGAATCGCGAAAATCAACGCTATCGGTCAGAACATTCAAATACAGAGGTACCAAAATCTGGAATACATTGGACGGGGAATTAAAATCGACGGCTAATCTTAAGCATTTAAACTCAATATTGAAAACAAGACTTCTAGAAAGAAATATACAATTCAGTTTTTAATCTTAGTTACTAGTAAGTAACAGACAATTAATTTTAGAGTAGAATAGACTGGTGAACAAAAAAATCTTATATGTAATTGTAAATTGTCATTGAAACAACCCGATCTGGGCAGTGGCGGAAATTCACTTTTTCCGGGGGGGCGAAGCCTTCTAAATTTCCGACAAAACTTTCAAATTTACGACAACCACCCCCCCCCCCCAATTTGCACTCGAAAAGGCTGTTTTTAGACCTTTTAAAGGTCAAAATTTCCGAAAATTCGTCATTTTCCACGAAGGTGGGGGGGGGGGGCGGCCGCCAGTGG